AGCTCTTTGTGATCTTGGTGCAAGTGTTAGCTTAATTCCTTATTCATTATGTCAAAAGCTACACTTGGGGGATCCCAAACCAACAACGATGGCATTACAATTGGCTGATCGATCTGTCAAATATCCTATCGGCATTCTTGAAGATGTTCCTGTCAAAATTGACAAGTATTATATCCCAGGAGACTTTGTTGTCTTGGATATGGAAGAAGATGCCCGAGTTCCTGTTATTCTAGGGAGACCTTTTCTAGCTACGGCAGGGGCTATTATCAATGTCAAAAAGGGTACCCTTATCCTTGAGATTGGGGATGATAAGATCGAATTCAATGTACGAGAGCTGAGTAAGGATACACCTTGTGTCCTTGATGGTTACTATGCTGATGTTATAGACTCTTGTATTACAAATACATTTGATGAGTCTTATTGGCTTTCTAAAGATCCAATGGAGTACACCATACGAGAATCTATTGCAGTTGAGCAAGCCAATGAAATGGTAAATTTATGCCTCGAAATGTTGCAAAGCATATCTTTACCGATGCCTAAAGCACTTAAATTTGAAGTGCTTAATCTTGAAGATTAATCCTTGAATGTCAAAGGAAAAGCACCTGAAGTAGAACTCAAACCACTTCCATCTACTTTGAAATATGCTTTTCTTGGTCCAAATTCTACTTATCCAGTCATCGTGAATGCTGATTTAGATCTTCAGCAAGTGGAAAGGTTATTGCAAGTCCTACAGAGCCATCGAAGAGTTATTGGCTACACCATTGATGATATTGTTGGCATAAAGGCATCTTACTGCATGCACCGCATTTACTTGGAGGATGATCATAAACCAAGCATTGAGCACCAAAGGCGTCTCAACCCGAATATGAAAGATGTTGTTAAAAAAGAAATTCTAAAATTGTTGAGTTCAGGTATCATTTTTCCCATTTCGGACAGCAAATGGGTAAGTCCTATCCACGTGGTGCCAAAGAAAGGAGGAATTACTGTTGTGAAGAATGACAAAAATGAACTGATTCCTACCCGAATAGTCACTGGTTGGCGCATGTGCATTGATTACCGCAAACTCAATAAGGCAACTCGAAAAGATCATTTTCCACTTCCTTTTATTGATCAATTGCTGGAGAGGATGGCTAAGCACAAGTATTTCTGTTTTCTTGACGGATTCTCTGGATTCTTCCAAATCCCAATTCATCCGGATGATCAAGAAATGACAACATTTACATGTCCTTATGGTACTTTTGCATATCGCAGAATGCCATTCGGATTATGTAATGCACCTGGAACCTTTCAACGATGTATGCTAGCTATTTTCTCGGATCTTGTCGAGGAAATTATGGAAGTTTTTATGGATGACTTCTCGGTTTACGGGATTTCATTTGATGATTGTCTTGAAAATCTTGAAAAAGTGCTGAGCAAATGTGAAGAAGCAAACCTTATCCTCAACTGGGAAAAATGTCATTTTATGGCAACCGAAGGCATTGTGCTTGGGCACAAAATTTCCGAAAAAGGCATCGAAGTAGACCCAGCAAAAATAGAAGTCATTGAAAAATTGCCTCCTCCTTCCTCCATCAAGGGGATTCGCAGTTTTCTTGGCCATGCAGGATTCTATCGCCGGTTTATTAAAGATTTTTCAAAAATATCAAAGCCCTTAACCAATCTTCTCTCCAAAGATGTGGAGTTTAATTTTGATGAATCTTGCTGCACCGCATTTTCAAAGCTCAAGTTGGCCTTAACTACTGCACCAATCATAAGACCACCTGATTGGAATCTTCCATTTGAGCTCATGTGTGATGCGAGCGATTTTGCCGTGGGAGCCATTCTGGGTCAACGCAAAGGCAAAGAAATCTATGCCATTTATTATGCAAGCCATACTCTTGATGATGCCCAATCAAATTATGCCACAACTGAAAAAGAGTTTCTTGCCATAATCTTTGCCATTGAAAAATTCCGATCTTATCTTATCGGAAGCAAGATTATTGTCTATACCGATCATGCGGCTATCAAATACCTCATCAATAAAAAAGATGCAAAACCGAGGTTGCTGCGGTGGATCTTGTTACTACAAGAGTTTGACATGGAAATCCGTGATAGAAAAGGATCTGAAAATGTTGTTGCCGATCATTTATCTCGTCTTGAGATTCCTTGTGATATCAAAATGCCAATCAATGATTATTTCATCGGGGAACAACTCATGTCTGCTCAAATTTTCGATCCATGGTTTGCCGATATTGCAAATTACCTTTCTCATGGGGTAATTCCACATGGGGCTACACATGCTGAAAAGAAGAAGTTAAAATATGACTCCCGTTACTACCATTGGGCAGAACCTTTTCTCTATAGAAGGTGTGCCGATGGTGTCATTCGACGGTGTTTGCCCGAAGATGAAGTTTCAAATGTCTTGCATCATTGCCATTCCTCAGCATATGGGGGACATCATGGAAGCTCTCGTACTGCTGCAAAAATTTTACAATCGGGTTTCTTTTGGCCCACTCTTTTCAAAGATGCAAGCAAATTTGTGAAAAACTGTGATCGTTGCCAGCATACTGGCAATATCGGAAGAAAGAATGAAATGCCTCAGCATGGCATACTTGAAGTCGAATTGTTCGACGTATGGGGGCTCGATTTTATGGGGCCATTTCCTAAATCAAATGGGAAAGAGTTCATCCTTGTAGCTGTTGATTATGTTTCTAAATGGGTAGAAGCAGCTGCCACACCGACTAATGATGCCAAAGTGGTGATCCAATTTATTCAGAAGAATATTTTCTCCCGATTCGGAGTTCCAAGATCTTTCATCACCGACAATGGTACTCATTTTCGTAACAAGGCATTGGAACGTGTCCTTTCCAAATATGGGATTCACCACTGACTCTCAACTCCATATCACCCGCAAACAAATGGCCAGGTGGAACTTTCAAACCGAGAAATCAAATCAATTCTCGAGAAAGTTGTTAATCCTTCCCGAAAGGATTGGGCCGACAAGCTTGATGATGCACTATGGGCATACCGCACTGCCTATAAAAATCCCATTGGCACCTCACCATTCAAATTGGTGTATGGGAAAGCCCGTCATCTTCCTGTTGAGGTTGAACACAAAGCATATTGGGCAATCAAGACACTCAACATGGATCTTGCATTGGCGGGTGAGAAACGACTGTTGCAGCTAAATGAACTTGAAGAATTCAGACTTGCAGCTTATGATAGCTCAAAAATATACAAGGAGAGAACAAAAGTTTTGCATGACCAGGTGATCAGCCGGAGAAAATTTGAACGGGGAGATAAAGTTCTTCTATTTAACTCACGTTACAAATTCTTTCCCGGAAAACTAAAAACCCGATGGTTGGGTCCATTTGAAGTACTTGAAGCATTCCCATCTGGAGCAGTTCAGTTGTTAAACAAAAGCGGACAGAAACTCATGGTAAATGGACAACGATTGAAATTATATCATGAAGGTGAGAAACAAGAGGCAGCTTCTGTGTATTGCCTCACTGATCCGAAATATGAATGAAGAGGCATGGGTCAAGCTAATGACCTTAAACGAGCGCTTCTTGGGAGGCAACCCAAGTTTGTAAATTTCTCAAAAAAAAAAAAAGTCAAAAAAAAAAAAGAAAAAAAAAAGATTAGTCTAGGTTTTCTTTATTTCTTTGGACTCCAAAGGGGCCACATCCGCTCAAAGGGATCTCCAAACGTCATGCGGATAAACAATTCCAGATTCGGCCGCGCTTCAGGGAAGTTTTCTTTACACTCCTTTAATTTCTTTTCCACTGAGGACAGTGCAAATTTTAAGTGTGGGGGAGTGGGTAGTTCGACCCTGATTTCTTATGTGAATATTTTTTTTCCTTGTGTGCTTGTGTGATTTTGTTTTATTTATTTTGTGTGTTTTGTTTGTGATTAAAGACCAGTCTTGTCCAAAATGCAACAATAGACTAGCAACACACTAGTTTACACTTTTTGTTACTAGTTACCTCCATAACATTTTAAATTATTCATTCACCTCTTTTGATGAAATGTGGTTTGAGTTTGAGAAGTGTCACTGTAATTTTTTGAGAGTAACTTAGTATGAGCTTTGAACTTGATTCTTTTTAACAATTTAACATTACACCTTAGATTTTATTTTTCCAATTTATTGGTTTAATAGTTGAATTAGTGAAAGTTTATGCAGTTTAAGATGTTTATACATTTATTCTCCTTGAAATTTAATTTGAACTTGACACATTAGAAATGATTTAGGCCATCTTTGTTTACCCATCAAGCCAAACACTATCCCTTTGTAAATAAATAACACTTTCCCTAGTAACCCTGTTTGAGCCTTTTCAGTGTACAAGTGTAAAATAACTTACTTCACTTGTTACTAATTTTTCTTGTGACCTTGTTAATACATAACCTTGTGAAATCCTACCCAAGTCATTTTTGTTTCAACCTTAGAGTAGTTTGTATTGTTACCTGAGAGTGGGTAAAATGGAGCTTCTGTTAAGTGTCATATTAGTGATGTACATATTTGTTTGTAAATTTTGGGGTTAGTTTTTCATTGTAATATTTAGTGTGTGCCTTCTTAAAAAAAAGTTCAAAAAAAAAAAAGAAAAAAAAAAGAAAAAAAAAAGTAAAAAAAAAAAACAAGAAAAAAAAAAACAAAAACAAAGAGGCACATTAATTTCTTGTTGTGATTTCTTCTGTAAAACCCCATTTTTACTTCCTTTTCATGTTTATATTTCTCATTGTTTTGTATGCTCCAAGTTCTTGTAAATTCATGTGATTATCCGCTCAGTATAAGTGCAATCTAACTCTCTTTGTAAATCCCTACACCAAACCTTTCTTTCCACTAGCCACATCATTAACCTCGCCAAAACCCGAAAAGTCCTAATTGATCTATTTGTTTCATTTTTTGAATTAAGTTAATTGGAGAAACTTGTTCTGCATAACCCGAACTAATTCAGATCTATAGGTGTTTGCGTTAAAAGTTTGATTTGAAAATCTTAGTGATAGGCAATAATACTCGACCGTTTAGTGGACATTAGAGGTGTATGTGTGATTTGTTTAGTTATGTTTGTAAATTTTACCAAATTGTGTATTTTTGTGTTTGTTGTTTATTTTGCTTGAGGACAAGCAAAAGCCTAAGTGTGGGGGATTTGATGTGCTTGTATTTTACACACTTTTTAGGCTTAGTTTGTTAATAATTTTGGTCACTTAATTTGTATATTTGTACATATTTTTATTATTTATCATTACTTTGTACGATGTGTAGTTCTATGCATGTATTTTGTATTTTCAGGTACTTTTGATACTATTTGATACATTTGTGTGTGAAGAAAAGAAGAAAATAAAAGTTCAAGTTGGAGGTCAATAAAAGTGGAATTTCTTTCAAAGCAAATAAGGAGTAAATTGAAGTTAAGAAGCAAAAATATGAAAACACAGAGATGGGATTCGGTCCCTGAACCAGGGGTAGAGGAATGTCATTCAGAACCAATGAACTATCTTGCCAACGTTGTACACAATCAGCCGGCAGTTTATATATTGCTTGTGACCACATCAAAGAAAAAAATGGAACAAAAGTCGGAAGCCCAGAATCGAACCCGCGACCTCTGCTACATGCTTAAACACTTCGTCCGCTGCACTGCTACACATTATTGATACTTGGACGCGTTTTCTTGTACATATACTCTCCGGTTCCGTAAATTCCAGCAATTAATGATTAATCACCTTATCATTATATTGCCTTAATCCATCTCCCTCCACACATAATCTCGAGCCAACTTCTCTCTACACCTCCCAGAATCATTTTCTCCTCCTTCTCTCTTCATTCTTCATCTCCAAATCATCAACCAATCTTCAACATCAATTAATCACTTTCTCAATCAAGATTAAAGTCAAGATTAGCACCAAGCTCCAAGGATTGTCATCTATCACAAGTTTGATCTTCCTTATCTCTTTAAATCTTGTACTTCAATCATGAATTCATCTATTTCTAAGCTTCCCAACATATATAGCTAAATAAATTTGGGGCTAGAAATTGGTTAATTAATTGTTCTTATCATGTTTTAATTTGTATTGATTTTAATTGTTAAGTTTGTTCTATTTAGATTGTTGTGTCCAGAAAATTAATTAAGTTATGTTTGTGATATATATATTATGAGTACTCAATCATAAACATATTGTTTGTTAAATACACAAATGAACACTTTCTGAACACCGTTAAACTTCTTTTACCTTGTCCCGGATTGAAGTTTTACGGGAGAATTTAATTATTTAATTATATTATTTACACCACGGGGTTGGGTAAATAATATAGTTAATAATTAAGGTTGTCGTTGCACTTAAACAACTAGTCTCGTTTTGGCCATCACTGGGAAATGTTGACTAGTTACTTATTTTAGATGACTTGTGTTGAGTCCTAAAATATTTATCCACAACTTCTCACAATCTATCTACGAATAAAATTAGCAATTATTTCTTTCAATTAAACATTGAACAATTAGTTACCAATTTCTACCCCTACTTACTATTGGTTGAACTTTGTGTTGATAAAAATCTCTCATCTCAATCACTTTTATTTTATTACTTTTCCAAGCAACCAAAAAAAATCAAAAGAAACGCACTCCCAACTTTAATCCTTAGTTTGTGCTTAATTATTTTATTTCCCGCTTCTCTGTGGTTCGACACCCTACTTCCTTGGGTAAAAAAAAATAGTTGTGTGCCCATTATATGCTACACACCAGGTCGTCAGCTGGGTGCTCGGCCTCCTAGACGTTCCCTTCCTCAGGGATGAAGTCATTGGAGACGTTGTCAGCAACGTCGCCTTGTCCCTCTTGGTACTCCTAGTTCACAGGGGCGTTCCTACCGACGAGATTCTTTGACTTTGTTCTTCCCATAGCTAGTGGTAGTGTCTAGTAGCGACGAAGGGTTCTCACTTGATCTGTTCTAGCTCTCAACGAGAGCACCAAATGATAGAGTATTTAATTCTAGAGAGAGAAAGTGAGTAATTAATATTTCTCAACCCCCATAACTAGCCCCCTGGGGTCGATTTATAGGGAAAAATGTGGATTTGGGCTCCTAGCTTTGGGTTTAGGAGGCCCATTACAATAATCATGCCTTCTTTAGGCGGAATAGGGCCACTAATGGGCTGAGTACAACACTTAGTAAATAAAGTAGGAAAATGCATTCTGCCTGGGCGATGTCCGGCCGATGCGGTGCCTTTTGGCCGATGCGGTCCCATGGCCGATGTGGTCCATGGGCCGATGCGGCCCCAAGAGCCCGGGTTGGGTGCTGGGCTGATTCGTCTCTGGGCCGTTGCGGGCCACGTGGATGCTCTGCTGGCGTGTTTGACCTCTAGGGTATGTGGGTCATGGGGTCCAGGCCCATATACTCTATCAATTACTATTACTATTACTATTACTATTACTATTACTATTACTATTACTATTACTATTACTATTACTATTACTATTACTATTACTATTACTATTACTATTACTATTACTATTACTATTACTATTACTATTACTATTACTATTACTATTACTATTACTATTACTATTACTATTACTATTACTATTACTATTACTATTACTATTACTATTACTATTGTTAGCATTTGATATATTAGTCTTTTATTAGCCTTTTGTATTGGTGTTTCCTTTTCTTTTGTTTGCTTACGTTTGTCCCACACCGTAAGTGTTTACTCCCCCTCTTTCCTTATCTATAGATAGGGCCTTTGGCCTCCGAATAATGTAAGCTTCCATTTTATGATATGATATTTATTCTATTAAATATTATCCATTTATTCTATAATTTTTTTTCTGGGGGTGATCTTCATCGCTCTACATGCTCTCCAGTGTTTTCCTCGTTGCTATTCAGGTTTTCCGCTGCTTCCGCTTCTCTTGTATTTTTGTTTAATTATTGTGTGCAATGGCGGGTGGTGATGACTTGTTGCAGTCAATTGGTGTTCGTCTTGATGGGAAGAATTTTGGGTATTGGAGTTATGTCATGATAAATTTCTTGAAGGGTAAGGGGCTATGGGATTACGTTTGTGGAAAAAGTGTGTGCCCAAAGTCAGGAGACGAAAAATTTGATGAACTGTTTCGGATTTGGGAGACTAATAATTCCAAGATTATTACTTGGATTAATAACTCCGTTGAACAGAGAATTGGGGTGCAACTAGCGAAATTCAAAACTGCAAAAGATATTTGGGATTACTTGTCTAAACTGTTTGTGCAAAATAATTTTACGGTTAAATATCAGTTGCAGTCTGAAATTCGTGCCTTAGTACAAAATGATTAGGGGATCCAGGATTATTTTTGTGCAATGACAGCTCTTTGGGATCAATTAGCATTGACAGAATATGTTGAGTTGCAAGCTTGTGATGCTTATATCAAGTGTAGGGATGAAGACCGTCTTGTCCAACTACTCATGGGTCTTCGTCCAGAATTTGATAACTGTCGTTCGGGATTATTGCACCGTAAACCGCTGCCATCTGTTGAAGATGTGGTAAATGAACTCATGGCCGAAGAAACTTGTTTGAAGACTTCAAAGGGAGCACATCCTGCTTCCACATCTGTCTTGGTAGTTCCTCTTTCTGCCCCAGTCCTTGTAGCTCCTATTAATCAGTACAAAACTTCCTCTGTTGATAATTGTAACTACTCCAAACAGCCAGGACATTGGAAAAAACAATGCCCCGAACTACGGAAAGGGTCTAGTTGGAAGCCTGCACAGTCGGGGCAAGGTTACAAGCCTCCACAGCCACGCACACAAGGGTATAGACCTACAACTCAGTACCATGGTGGGCAGCAGAAACACTACCCACACCCACCTACTCAAGCAGCCTTGGGTCCATCCTTGAATCAATCTGGTTCTGAAGTTATTGGGAACTCAAGTCCAGATTTTTTGGCTGACCAGTTCCAGCAGTTCCTTGCCTTCCAGCAATATCAGAATTCTACTCAGTCTCATGCTCTCTCAGTTCCCTGCCCCCCACCACCGCTCACTGGCTCAGGTATCACTCCTTCTTCTTGGATATTAGACTCTGGAGCGGGAAATCACATGTCCCCTAACCCATCTGATTTCATATCTATGTTTGGTAATCCCCCATCCACCATAGTTGTGACTGCTGATGGCACGCCTATGCCATTAACTGGCATTGGGACAATTCGTACTCTCACTATATCACTATCTGATGTTTATTGTATTCCTAAATTGCATATGAATCTTGCTTCTGCTGGTCAAATATGTGATTCTGGATGTTTTGTTGGGCTATTTCCCGATTCTTGTTATGTGCAGGATCTAAAATCCAAGAGAGTGATTGGGACAGGGCATAGGAAGGGGAAAGGTCTCTATGTTTTGGATGAGCTGCATCTTAGTACTCATGCAACAACTATGCATGTCAAATTGTCTACTTTTCATTTGACTGCTTCTTCTTCTAAATTTTATTTGTGGCATTCTAGACTTGGACATGTATCGGGCTCCCGCCTGCGTTTTATGTGAGGCGTGCTTGTTCAAGAATATCCTTAGTGTACTTAGACTGAGAAAGTAGATTTTTAGAATTATGACTAAATATCGCGCTTTAAGTACACTAAGGATATTCTTCAAGTACACTAAGAATATTTAGTGTCCTATGATTATAATTAGAACTAAATATTTTTAGAATTATGATTATAATTATAAATTATATTTAAATTATATTTATAATTACAATTATAATTATAATTATAATTAAAGAAATATTTAGATCAGATCAGAAAAATTCAGATAAGATCAGAAGGATTCAGATCAGATCAGAAAGATTCAGATCAGATCAGAAAGATTCAGATCAGATAAAAAAAAATTCAGATGAGATCAGATCAGATCAGAAAAATTCAGATTAGATCAGAACTTAATAAATCCAGATCAGAAACATTCAGATCAAAGAGAAGAGTTTCTTAAGCCTACCATTTTTTCTAAAATGGTTACAATATTTCTGAGAAAAAGGAAAAAGAACGCGGCGGATTAACTCAATTCCACCAAAGCCAAGGTCTCCTCTGTAATTCCCTGGTCTTTGGTCTCCTCGTTTTCTCTCGCTCCTCATCGCATTCGTTTGCTCTCTCTCCTCATCGCCTTGAGCTGGAGAGATCGCACAGGACGATCCAAGTTGTATTTTTTTTCCTGTTTGCAGTATCATCTGGCAAGTTCCTCAGATTCAATTTTGAATTAACAATAATAGTTCAAACAAATTAGCTTCTCCTCTTTGTGCCTTAAAATTTTGATAAGTTGTTTGCTCTCTCTGGATCCTGGTTGATTCTGGATAGATTATTGTCCGGTTTTGCTGGAAAGAACCGGTTGTGGAAGCTTGTGTCGTTTGTGTATTAACTGGTGAAGTCACCCGCTTCCTGAGAGTGCTTGGAGGTGTTTCTGGATGATTCATGTTAGAAAGGGAGATGTAAGGAACGGGCTAAGTGTTGGAAGCGAGATGGAAGACCTTGAGCTTGAGGAAGGAGAGGCTTGCTGTTATGAAAATAATAATAGCAATAATGCGTGTGATAATGATTCAATCATTGACCCTGAAATTGCTCTGTCCTACATAGTGAGTTTCTCATTACCAATATAATCTTCAATTCCAGTCAATATTGAGTACATATTTTCCTGGAGTTTTTTATGGATAAACTGACCCTTTTTAATTGTAAACATTTAATTATTAGTTCATTTAGCTAATCCCACTGTGTAGATACTAGGGGCGTCTATCGTCTTGTTATGTTAAATCCCTGTCTTTTCAGCTGTTACAGATTGTTTAACACGTTTCCTGCGTAGTGAAGTGCTAGTTGATGCTTAACAAACATTATAACCAGTGTGGTTTTGTTTAGTGTTTAAGAAAATCCAGATAGTTGTCTTGCAGTTATGTATTTTCAAAATGCTATATTTGACCTTTGAATTTGAGAAACTTGAGACGTTCTCTAACGGTAGAGTTTATTTTCTGTACTCTTGATGCTTTACAATTTTTACTTTATTTGAAGGACGAGAAAATTCAGCATGTTTTAGGACATTTTCAGAAGGATTTTGAAGGAATGGTGACCCCTGAAATTCTGGGTAAGTAGTTAAAAACACAAGGAAAATGATTTTAAAAAATGCTTGCCATACTACTGCTCATTATGAGATGATTTTGAGTTACCATTCATTGGCAGGGTCAAAATATGGTTGCTACGGTTCATTTTTGCCCACTTATCAGCGCTCACCGCCTGTGCCTGATTTAAAGACCGCACTGGAAGTCCCCAGCAATACCATAACAAAATCCCCCAAAATTACACTCTACGAGGTAGATACCTCTAGGTTGTATAGTTGTATTAGCTTTGTTTAACTGTATGGAAGAGTTAATATGTAGTTAATATGTATTGAATTTGTGGAGTGACTTTTCTTATAATATAGGGTGGTAGACATAATTCATGTTCTTCATCAAGCACTTTCATATCCACAAAGTCTGTTCCAACTTCCACAAATTCTCTACTAGTTCCTGCTACTAGGGCTCCTATTCCAAATCCTGGAGTCAACTTATGCAAAACTCCTGCTATACCTGAGGAGTGTGCTTCAATATGTAAGACACTTCAGAAGCCTGCTGATGCCTCTGAGCAGAAAAGTCTAAAGGTGCGCATCAGAGTTGGGTCAGAAAATCTGTCCAGTACAAAAAATGCGGAGCTTTACAGTGGACTTGGTCTTGATGTTTCTCCATCCTCATCCTTAGATAATAGCCCCACAGATAGTGAAGATATATTTCACAGAATTCAGGATGCTCCAGATAAATCACCCACAAGCATTCTTCAGGTTTGTTATGCTCTACAACTATCCTTCATTTTGGGTGTCGATCTTTTTTTGTGGGAATGGAATACTTGATTTGTCAAGCTTTTGGGGTAGACTAATTGATTTTCATTTCGGAAACCTTTTGGGACAGATCATGACCTCATCTCCCATGCGCGGAAGCTTGTTGTTATCGCCTCTATCTGATGATTTGATTCATCTGACAGAAAAAGATTGGCATTGGAGAAAATGTGGAGCTAAACCTATGCATGAGACTGGTGCAGATACTTCTGGGGCAGTGGCCAATGGGTTTGATAGCATTAGAGGAAGTAAAAAAATCTCGGGTGATAGGAAAAAAAATTTACACGAGAAAGATGCCATAGTAAATGGATACATCAGTGGTGATAACTTGCCTTGTGAAGAACTTATATCCAGAACTATGAAACTCCCTCTTCTGTCCAAGTCAATTAGTAGTGCCTGTTATCCTGTAAGTGGTTCCAAGACAAATGATAATTTGACAACCAGTGCTGAAGGCATTACGAAGGAGGAATCCATTGATCATACAGCCAAGGAGGATTTACACCATGTTTCTCCTGCAGAGAATAATGCCATGGTGGATAAATCCAATGGAATAGTTGGTTTATGTGTAGGGGGTTTGGTAAATGAAAAATCAAACAATTTTGACTATAGCGCAGCATTTCCTAGGAAAGAAAATAACGAATGCGCGGAGCAAGCTGATGATTTAAGCAACCCTGGGTGTAACAAATGTACAAAAGATCCAAATACTGACAAAATTGGTTTTTCGAGACCATCAGTTGCTTCAAAGATGACATTAAAAAAAGAGGTTGGGATGAGACTGGTCAAGAAACAAGTGTCATCTGGAAGCAAGAAGAAACTTGGAGGGATTCAGATTCATGATGCCCGTGAGGAGAAGCTTTATGAGGATGGCTTGGTGACTAATTCTTTTTCCGCACATAAGACTAAAAGAAGCTCTTCTGGGAGAACAAGTGCATCCAAAAGTCACTCGAAGGGTGTCAAGAACCATTCTAAAGCCAGAGATTCATTTACGGGATTATCTGGGAAACTAGAAGCTGAGAAAGATGATTATAAAAGTTTTTCAGAGGGAACACATTCACTGGAAATGTTGAAGGGTTCTGATTCTCATAATGGTACTAACCTGGTAGAATGTTCTGATGTGGTGAAAGAGATATCTAAAGCTTCAGAAGTTGAGAAGCGATTTGCCTTGACAGAGCATCATAGCGTAGACCCAAACATTAAAACAGTCACTGTAATTGAGCCCAATCCTACTTCTGCTCCAGTGGCTGAGGATCCACTAGTCAATGAAGATTGGGTTCAGTGTGATAAGTGTCACAAATGGCGTCTACTTCCACTTGGAACTGATCCTGAAAGTTTCTCCAAGAATTGGCTTTGTAAAATGCTTGACTGGCTGTAAGTTCTTTTGTGTAATGCATATAACATGACTTGATCAGTATGGCGGACCTTTTAATATGAGTAATAAGAATATACTAGGGTACATGATTTTACCATATAATAGTTTTGTGAGGACAAATTCAACAATTAAAGTAAATACTACGAACTACATAGAACCATCTGATCCCTTATTCCCGTGATTTTTTTTTTTAGTTTTCATGGATTCCTTGCACTATAGTGATTAGAATTACATTTTTCTAGGCCGGGTCTTAACCGCTGTAGTATCAGTGAGGATGAGACAACAATGGCTGTAAGAGCTTTATACCAGTTTCCTGCTGCTGCCATTACTACACCTGCTTCCGAGTCACAAACAAAAAATCAGAATGAACATCATCAGAGGAGCCTTGTGGGATTATCTTCAGTTGATGTTTTGCATTCAGATCTGGAGAACAGAAGTCTTGGTTTACAAATTGCAGTTGCTAGCGGTAAGAAGAATCATGGATCAAAAGATTCTTCATATGAAAGCAAACAAGCAGGGATGATGCCATCTTCAAGTAAAAACAATAACTTTAAGGAAATTGCAAATGGAGGTTTAAATGACAGTGTCAACTCCTCCGCGGGTGAAAATGGACATAAAAAGTATTACAGACATTCCAGCGCCCCAGTTGCTGAGAAGCAAGACAATAAACTGAAAGTGAAAAAACGGTTGCTTGACAGCAGAACTTCTGATGGAGGTATGTTGTTTGAAGTGCTCATTTTGAGCTCTTCCTTAAAATCTTAAATTTCCATTTATGTGGTTAATCTGAACTCTTAATCAACATCTCATGTTTACAGGTGGAAATAATGTGAAGACAAAGAACAAGTCAGAGACTGATTTGGTCAATTCCAGAACCTCTAAGAAGGTGAAAAGAGATAGCTTATTGCATAATGATGAAAATTGGACCACTGGCAAGGCTTGGGATAATGGACCTAGCACAAGTTCTGGTATGGTACAGACTGTGTCACAGGATCAGCATAAATATAAATATAGAGATTCAAAAACTTCAGACAAAAACTTCCAGGTTCATAACCCAGTTAATTCAAGTGATGAGTCGCTGCATGCCAGCAAGTCCTACAGTAAGGACTCTTCAAAGAAGAGGAAAAGAAATGGGAGTCCAGTTAATTCAGGTGATGGATCACTGCATACAAGCAGATCCGACAGTAAGAATTGTTCTAAGAGGAAAGGGGTCAGGCTTCGCCATTCAGAGATCTACAGTAAGCCAGTTCCTTTTATGCCTGCAGAAACTTGTGAAAACGACGGTAGGAAAGGAAGGGAAGCTAGGGATTTCAACCCTGAGGTAAAACATCCTATTGGGAACAAATTCAATG